GTTGCTGCCCTGGCCAATTCTGTGTCGAAAAAACAATGCGCGAAGGGGTAGGGCAGCAGCGCGCGCGGCGGCTCTGCACCGTTCTTTGTGGGGAAGCACGCCCTGCGCGAATGGTAGGGCCGCCGCGCGCGCGTCGGCCCTGCCTGGCCCTGCGTGGGGAAGCGCACACTGCGCGAAAGGCAAGGCAGCCGCGCGCGCGGCGGCCCTGATCCATTCTGCGCGGGAAGGCACACTATGCGCGGGCCGCCGCGCGCGCGGCGGCCTGTCACATCTGCGTGGAAAAACACACCATTGCGGGAGAGGCAGGCCGCCGCGCGCGCGGCGGCCCTGGCCATGCGCAAGGAGCAAGCCGCCCGCGCGCGCGGCGGCCCTGGTCCACTCTGTGTGGGAAAACACAATGCGCGAAGGGTACGGCCGCGCGCGGCGGCTCTGTCCTCATTCTTTGCGCGAAGGCGAGCCGCCGCGCGCGCTGCGGCCCTAACCCCTTCGCGCATTGTGGTTTCCCACACAGAGTGGGCCAGGGCCGCCGCGCGCGCGGCGGCCTTGCCCCTTGCGCATGACCAGGGCCGCCGCGCGCGCGGCGGCCCTGGCCAACTCTGCATAGAAAACACACCACGCGCGAGGGGCTAGGGGCCGCCGCGCGCGCGGCGGACCTGGTCCATTCCCTATTGGAAAAAAAAAACACCATGCGCAAGGGCAAGGCCGCCGCGCGCGCGGCGGCCCTTCCCAACCCTGCGTGGGAAAACGTACCATGCGCGAGGGGGTGTAGGGCCGCAGCGCGCGCAGCGGCCCTGGCTCATTTCTTTGTGGGGAAGCACACCATGCGCGAGAGGCAGGGCCGCCGCGCGCGCGGCGGCCCTGGCCAACTCTGCGCAGGAAAACGCACCATGCGCGAGGGTCAGGGCAGCCGCGCACGCGCTGCGGCCCTGCCCCCTTCTGTGTGGGAAACACACACACACACCACTCACGAAGGGCAGGGCCGCCGCGCGCGCGGCGGCCCTGGCCAATTTTTCGTTGGAAAACATGCCATGCGCGATGGGCAAACTCTGCGCGGGGCGGGGTGGCCATGGGTCTGGGTGGTCGGCGAGGGCGGGTGGGGCGGAGCGGGGTGGGGGGGGGTGAAGGGATGTGGGTGAACAGGTGATTGGGGGGAGAGGGGGGAGGGCAGGTCACGGCCGAGGGCAGGGCGGCCGCGCGCGCTGCGGCACCTGGCACACTCTGCGCCAACAAAAAAAACGCGCGAAGAGGGCCGCCGCGCGGCGCGGCGGCCCTGTCACAGCCTGTGTGGGGAGCACTCCATTGCGCGGGGGGCAGGGCTGGCCGGCCGCGGCGGCCCTGCCAACACTAGTGGGAAATGCGCACCACCTGCGAAGTCAAGGCCGCCGCGCGCGCGGCGGCCCTGTCCCATTCTGCATTGGAAGGCGCGCCTTGCGCGAAGGTCAAGGCCGCCGCGCGCGTGGCGGTCCTGGCCCAGTCTGAGCTGGAAAACGCCATGCGCGCGAGGAGCAAGGCCGCCGCGCGCGCGGTGGCCCTGGCCTACTATGCGCGGGTAAGCACATCATGCGCGGGGGGCAGGGCCGCCGCGCGCGCGAGGAAGGCCCTGGCCCATTCTGCGCGGTTATGTTGTATGTTTTCCCTGATTGTGCGCTCGCGCCCGTTGGGTGTTCAGTAGTCCACGACGGATAAGTCGCAATGACGGCCTGGAAACTAGAGTGGCCGCTTAATGGTGACCGATTGGATTGTGACGTTCGCATTTGGTTATGATGTCTGCGTTCTCCGATGGCGCGCGCGCGTTGGCGCCTCTCTACTGCCATCATAAGAAACGTCGCCGTGTTGGCTTGGGAACGAACATGAACCTTGAACGGTTGTGGATGTGATTATCAAGCGAACCTTGGTTCTGTGGTATGATTTCCATGGTGACGCGCGCGCGTCCGTTTGACCTTCTCTATTACCAACCGTATAAAACTGCCAATGCTGGTTTGGAAACTAAAATGAACCCTTAGTTGTGGCCGATTGGATGAAACATTCGCATTGGTTCTGATGTATGCTTCTATGATGGAGCGTGCACGCGCGCCCGTAGTGAGTACTGTACTGTTCACAGTGGAAAAGTCGCCATGTTGGCGTGGAAACCAAAAATGCATTGGTTCTGCTGTGTGCTTTCTGTGATGGACAACGCAGAGCCTCGCAGTCGCGCGCGCGCGAGCCCATTGTGAGTTCTGTAGTGTCAACATTGCAAAAGTCGCCCTGCTGGCCTGGGAACGGGGGAGTGCCCTTAACTGTGGCCGATGTGATTTTGAAGTGGACATTGCTTCTCCCTGGTGGACAACGCAGTACTTCAAACGCGCGCACGCGTGGGCGCCCGTGGGTTCTGTCTTGTCAGCAAGAAAGAAAGCGCCATGTTGGCCTGGAGATTATAATGGGACCTTAACGGTGGCCGATTGGATTGTGAACCCAACATGGGTTCTGATGTCTGTTTCCTCTCATGGGCAACGCAAAACCTCCCACGCGCGCGCGTGCCCGTCGGGGGTTCGGTATTGTCCACAATAGAGAAGTCGCGATGTTGGTTTGGAAACTAACGTGAACCCTTAACGGTAACGAGTTATAGTCTGATCTTATCATGATGTCAGGTGTATGTTTCCTATGATAGACAGCACGGAACTTCGCAGTCACGCGCGCGCGAGCCCGTTGGGAGTCATGTGTTGTCCAATTCAAAAAAGTCGCCATGTTGGCTTGGGGACTGAGGTGAGCCCTTAACGGTGACCGATTGAATTTGTAATTCAACATGGGCCCTGCTGTATGCTTTCCATGATAAACATCGCAGAACCACCTTCGCGCGCGAGCGCGCCCGTTGATAGTTCTGGACTGGCAACAATACAAGAGGCACAATGTTGGCCTGGAAACTGAAACGGCCCCTCCACGGCTACCGAATTGGATTTCGAAGTTAACATCGGTTCTGGTGTGCGTCTTCATGATTGGGAACTCAGAACCTCCGACGCGCGCGCGCGCCCGTTGGGAGTTCAGCATTGTCCACAATAGAAGAGTCGCCGCTCTGGCACGGCAACTAAAGAGAACCCTTAACGATGACCGATTGGACTGTGAAGTTCACATGGGGTCTGTTGTGTGCCTTCAATGGTTGACAACACAGGCCTTCCAACGCGCGCGCACGCGTGCCCGTTGAGAACTCTGTATTATCTACAATAGGAAAACCGCCATGTCGGCTTGTAAACTAAAAGGGGACCCGCACCGCTGACCGATTGGATTTTTAAGTTGTATGGATTATGATGTATGTTTTGTATGATAGACAACGCAGAACCTCCCACGCGCGCGCGCCCATTGGGAGTTCTGCATTGTTCGCAAACCGAAGTGAACCCTTAACGGCCACCGTTTGGAATTCGAAGTTAACCTTGGTTCTGTTGCATGCTTCCAATGATGAACAGCACAGAACCCTCCACGCGCGCTCGCGCGTTGGAGGGTGGATTCTGTATTGTCTACAATCGGTAAGTCGCTATGTTGGTTTGGAAGCCAAAATGCAACCTTAACGGCGGCCGTTTGGACTTCCAAGTTAACGTTGTTCCCAGCGCACATTGTCTACCATTGACAACGCAGAGCCCCGCGCGCGCGTGTCCTGTATTGCCCGCAAGCGACAAATCGCCATGTTGGCCTGGAAGGTAACATTTAACTTTACGGGTGGTCGATTGGATTGTCAAGTTGACCTGGATGCCTGTGTGCGCTTTCTAATCGGGACAATGCAGAACTTCCCACGCGTCGTCGTCGTCGTTGTCGTCGTCGTCGTCGCCGTCGCCGTCGCCGTCGCCGTCGACGTCGCCGTCGCCGTCGCCGTCGCCGTCGCCGTCGCCGTCGCCGTCGCCGTCGCCGTCGCCGTCGTCGTCGTCGTCGTCGTCGTCGTATTCATCGTCGTCGTCTTCGTCGTCGTCGTCATCGTCGTCGCCATTCGGAGTCGGCGTTGTCGTCGGGAACCGCGGGCCGTCACACTTGTTTTGCGTGGGACGCGTGGGACTTGTGGGGCCTGTGGGACTTGTGGGACCCGCGACACCTGAGGGACCTGTGGGATCTACGGGGTTCGAAGGGACCCCCTGGGAAGGCTGAAGTGGTGATGGCCTTACTGCCCTGCCACGCGTTCCTGACCTGGGAGGGATGTTGAAAAAACAGCGTTTCGCTCGAGACATCCTCCCACTAATTCCTCTTCCTCCTCCTCCTCCTCTTCCTCCTCCTCCGGGAGGAGAGGGCGAGGAGGGCGAGGATGGATGCAGCTCGGACGACGGGGCCCTTTGCGAGCCTCGCAGGCGCTCCATAGCTACCTGCACGAGGGCGTGACTTGGCGAACCTTGAAAGCTATATCTGTCAATGACCGCACATCCAACGGGGTAGGCCTATTCAAGGAGGGCTCTCGTCAATTTCAGGATACGTTTGGGTCGGCGCCGCCGTGCATAATTAGTGACCGTCCCGAGTCGTTCCATGAGTTTCTCCGCTGGCTCCTGCCCAAGGAGGGGCCGTTGAAAACTTGCATCCAGAAGGACACGGAGTTGCGCCGCCTCGAGGGCGCCGATCGTGCAATTGGATTGGCAATGCTTTCGTCGACGCCCGGGCGGGTAAACAGGTTCATATTTTGTGATGTCATAAGCCGAGCACTGTGCATCTATTATTGGGGAAAGAAAAACACTCATATTGCATCGCAGACAACTTTTCAGGCCCTGGTCAGCCGCAGCATCGGCATTGTTGTGGGAAGCGCTGTTGACCGCGAGTTTCTGGACCGTTTTCCAGCTGGTGCAATGTATAATGACGGCGTGAGGACATGCGTTCAGATTCTGATTCGGCTCGGGGCTGCGTCCGACAATGAAGCATCTGCCCTGGCTCACGATGCCGTGCAGTACCACGCAAGGTTGCAATCCAGAGTGGCATCCCACATCAGGGGCAATGCAGACAACATTGGCCGAAGCACGTGGCTAACAGCTAGCCTGTTGTCCACTGACCCCGCGCAGGCAAAAGAGGCAGCGACGTCCTGGGTGACGCACTTATCGCACTTGTCAGAGGCTCACATGACGAAGTTCGAAAAGCACGTGTTCAACGATCCAGGCCTCATGGGCCAAGTGAGGATTGCAGCTGATGCAGATCCGCCAGAAGTTTTATGGCGGCACCGCGGGCGATGCGACCAAATATACATGTTCTTAGCATCTCGGTTCCTGGCAAATCCAGATGGAGTGTTGGATTGCGAGGGAGTTCATGGCCAGTGGAAGTGGATCATGGACAATAAGTGCTCCGCCAAGTTCAAGATGGTCAATGCCATCCTCAAGTGTTCTTCGGAGCTGCACATCAACGGGGGCTTCCCGAACGAAAACGACATCCGACCCTACATCGTGCAAGTGCGGGCAGCGCTTCTTCGAGAACTGGCTGCAGTCGACCCCGAGATCTCAGCAGGTGCCAGGACAGACTGGGTGTACCGTCGCCGTTTCAACATGAGCCTCGAAGATTCGGACCTCCTCAGACCGAGGCCTCCAACGGCGGGCGTGATACCCAAATACCATTATACGTTCGAGTACGCGAGGGGTACGTACATCAAGAACTTGCTACAACCGCTGAAGATGTTCCTGTTCACAGGTCTGCCAAACAGCCCGTATTTCTTCATCGCAGAAAACAAAACGTTTGCTGGCAGGGAGGCGAAAGCAGAAGGGCAGGAACTGGGCCGCACTGTGTCGGTCGCATTTTTTTGAATACGATTCCGATGTTGCCACAGGCGCGCTGGTTAAACCAGTCGCGCAGGCACCTGCGGGTGGTCTGGATCTGAAGTCCCTTACCGTTTCGCAACTCGTTCGGTCCTGTGGGTTGGTGCTTGATCTCCCCGCTGGCGCGTCCGATCGGGACGCCGAGGTCGCATGCGAGGATGCCCTCTTGAACCAAGGCCTTGTCGTATACAGAGTGACGGATCGAGTGCAAAATGATGCACTTGATTGTGCGTGGCAGTTCATTGTCAATGATGTGGTGGACGTCGAGGACGAACACATTTCACGGGCTGCCCCTGGTCAGCTAACGAAGATGGCAATGGCTCGGCAGGTGCACTTACGAGACAATCTGCCTTGGAAACGTGTGTTTCATCTTCCCAAGGATGAGATTGTGGCGCTGATGTTGCCAGGGGCCGCACCTCCAGGCCCCGCCGCTGGCCCCGGCCCAGCACGAGGCCGAGGCAGGGGCAGGGGGGGCGGGCGCGCTCGAGGTGGCCGCGGTGGAGGCGGCGGCAAGTGATGACCTGGAGGGCCGTGGCGTCCGCAGTCGACCGCTCGGGCGGTGGAGGCGGCCGCTGCGTCCGCAGCGGGAGCCTTCTGTTTCACTTGCGTCTGTTGCATTTCTGTTGCACTGTTGCACTTGCGCCTGCGCCTTCTGAGCATTGCTCCAATTATCCCAGTGCGACCCTACCTAGGAGTTGGAACCCTTAGGAAAGCAGCATTAGTAGTAACAGTAAGGCTAAGTTAAAGCTAAGCTAAAACTAAGGTAAAGCTAAACTAAAGCTAAGCTAAAGTTAAGCTAAAGCTAAGCTAAAGTTAAGCTAAAGCTAAACGACAGCTAAGCTAAAGCAGAGCTAAAGCGAAGCTAAAGCTAAGGCAAATCTAAGCTAAAGCTAAGGCAAATCTAAGCTAAAGCTAAGCTAACGCTAAGCTGAAGCTAAGCTAACGTTCAGCTAAATTTGAGCTCAAGCTAAGCTAAAGGTAAGCTAAAGCTAAGCTGCAGCTAAGCAAAAACTAAGCTAAAGCTAAGCTAAATCTAAGCTAAAGCTACGCTAAAGCTAAGCTAAAGCTAAGCTACAGCGAAGCTACAGCGAAGCTAAAGCTAAGCTAAAGCTAAGCTAAAGCTAAGCTAAAGCTAAGCTACATCTAAGCTACAGCTAAGCTAAAGCTAAAGCTAATCTTAAAGCTAAATCGAAAGCGAAAGCTAAAGCTAAGCTAACGCTAAAGCTAAGCTAAAGCTAAAGCTAAAGCTAAAGCGAAAGCTCCCAGAGGACTGGGGGAACCGCTCCCAGAGGACTGGGGGAACCGCCCAGGGCGCTTTCCACTGCCTGGCCCCTTTAAGCTAAAGAGTAAGAACCCTTCTAGGCAGAGCCTAGGTAGGGAATAAAGACGAATTGTGATCAATTTCTTCTGAACATCTGAGAGACCCTTGACGGGGGGCCCCGCCAGACCCCTCCCCTGGTCCCTGCACCGTGCACCCCCGTCTACGGGCCAGAAGGCCATCGGGGCCTTCCGAGGAGGAAACGACATGAGGAAGATAGAAGGAGGATGAAGAGGAGGAGGAGGAGGAGGAGGAGGAGGACGAGGAGGAGGGGGAGGAGGAGGAGGAGGAGGAGGAGGAGGAGGGCTTTTCCACGAGATGCCACGATGATGACGATGACGATGATGGTGATGAGGGTGGTCGTGATGATGCTGGTGATGCTGACAATGGCGATGACGACGATGGTGATGAACATGATGAATGTGACGGTGGTGATAACCATGATTATGACGATACTGATGATGGCGATGGTGATTTTGCTGCTGATGATGATGACGATGATGCTGCCAACGGCGACGACGACGAATACGACGACGACGACGACGACGACGACGACGACGACGGCGACGACGACGACGACGACGACGACGACGACGGCGGCGGCGGCGACGACTACGACGACGACGACGACGACGGTGATGATGACGCTGACGCTGGCGATACATACAAATATGATGATGGTGATGATGATGATGATGATGATGATGATGATGCTGATTATGAATGCTGAATGCTGATGCTATGCTGATTGCTGATGTACCTGATGGTTGGCAACTTGCGGCCGTTGAACTGATGATGATGTGAGGAAGGAGGACGATAGGAGGTGATGAGCACCTGATAAAAGGGGAGGTATGAATTGGGCGATGAATGGATGATAACAGCGGAGGGGGGGAGTGAAGGAAAGCACCGTGTGCCTCACAAGGCTCCCGTGTCTGCTTGCGTGGCCCATGGGGAATCGTATGGCACATGGACACATGGGCCTCCGTCCGTCCTCCGCCTTCATCCCCGTCAGCCTGCCCCAAACCATTTCTGGGGGCCCAAAAAACCATTTCTGTAAGTAGGAAAATGGTTTTCCAGAAGCTCGGACCCTATCCACCCTAGGGCTACCCCTAGGGCTACCCCTAGGGCTACCCTAGGGCTACCCCTTGGGCCTACCCCTAGGGCCGCCTTTGCCGGAGGAGAAGCACGAGGATGAGGGGGAGGAGTACCGAGGAGGAGGAGGAGGAGGAGGAGGAGGAGGAGGAGGAGGGACAGGGAGAGGGAGAGGGCGGAGGAGGAGCAGGAGGGACGGAGAGAGGAGGAGGTTTTCGTCGGTCTTCGGCGTCTCCCTCGCGTCGGCGTGCGCTCAGGAAGGCGCGCCCCGCCGGGCACGCTCCAGACCCAGACAGTCGTCGTCGTCGTCGTCGTCGTCGTCGTCGTCGTCATCGTCGCCCTCCGCCTCCCCCTCCTGCTCCTCCTCCCCCTTCTCCTCCTCTTCCACTCCCACTCCGCCACAAAGGGCATCAATATGTAATCCGCCAGCAAAGCAAGCAATGCGTTTAATGTCCCGCCCGCCCGCCCGACCAAAAGAATCAGCTTGTAATCCGCCACAATAGTAATCAACTTGTAACCCGCTGCCACATGGAATCACTTTGTAATCCGCCACCAAAGCAACCAATGCTTTTAATGTCCCGCCCGCCCGCCCGACCAAAGGAATCAGTTTGTAATCCGCAATAAAAGAGAATCCATTCGTAATTCGCCACACAAGCAATCGTTGCCTTCAATGTCCCGCCCGCCCGCCCGACAAAAGGAATCAATGTGTAATCTGCCACAATAAGAATCAGTGTGCCACCCGCCACACATGCAATCAATGCCTTTAGTGTCCCGCCCGCCCGCCCGACAAAAATAACCAGTTGATAATCCACCGCGCAGGGAATCAATATATGTAATCCGCCACCAAGGCAACCAATGCAATTGATGTCCCGCCCGCCCGCCCGACCAAAGGAATCAGTTTGTAATCCGCAATAAAAGAGAATCCATTCGTAATTCGCCACGCGAGCAATCATTGCCTTGAATGTCCCGCCCGCCCACCCGACAAAAGGAATCAATGTGTAATCTG